TGGAGTACAATGGCACAAACTCCGTTTACTGCAACCTCTGCCTCCCAGGCTCAAGCGATTCTCCTGCCTCAGCCTCCCGAGCAGCTAGGATTACAAGCACCTGCCACCATGCCCAGCTAATTTTTGTATTTTTAGTAGAGATGGGATTTCACCATGTTGGCCAGGTTGGTCTCAGACTCATGACCTGGTGATCCGCCCACCTCGGCCTCCCAAAGTGCTGGGACTATGGCGTGGACCACCGCACCCAGCTGGAACTGGAATTCTTAAAAGGACTGAAAAGGAAGTATGAAAAAGTGAGTGAAAGAGGTTTAAAATAAGACAAACTACTGAATACATTTATGGGAAATTTTATAGTTTGCATAAACAGTATAAACTTAAGGCACAGTGAATAACTATTGATAAACTAGCCACTATTGGACAAGTAGCAAAAGTAAAATTCAAGAAACAAAACCTCCATAAGTCACTACTTCCTTTTATTACAATCATAAAATGTTCTCGGTAAACTCTAGATACTATTACCTTTAGGGAGACAGGATTCAAAAGATCACTTTTAAACACACCTACCTTCACTTGATAACCAAATAAATATCTGTGAGTGAGAGGTACTATCTCGAATGAAGTTAAATTAGAAGGAAAAGGTTAGGTTAGCATGTTTTAGAACTATTGGTAAACTATAATTCATGGGACATTATATAATCAAAAGATTAATCTTTTGAGCACTAAGTTATAAATGGTTTACACCCATGAATAAAAAGATTACCATCACTTACTATGAACCCCCATTCCATGAATCCATGTAGCTGAACACTCCTAATGAAAAGTTTAATTATCCTTCAACTTGTAGTTGAGGAACTCCGTTCATGTTCATTGACACAGATTTCCATTACGGACCCACTGTATTGATGATGTTACTTTCTGACACTATATTTTATATAGATATATTAAGATTGAAAACTTAATGCTGTTTAGAAGGCTATTAATATAACTTAATTTCTAACAGCTTTAAGTTTCTGAAAAGGGTTTTAAGATCAAAATTTCTGAAATACTCCACACATTCTTCCTCACCCACATTTAATTATAAATCAATGTTATACTGATAAAAGGTTCCATACACACATTTAGAAATATATGTGTGTGTGTGTGTGTGTGTGTATATATGTATTTTTCTTCCCCCCCGCAGGATGGAGTCTCACTCTGTCACCCAGGCTGGAGTGCAGTGGTGCAATCTCGGCTCACTGCAACCTCCACCTCCCTGGTTCAAGTGATTCTCCTGCCTCAGCCTCCGGAGCAACTGGGATTACAGACGTGCACCACCACACCCGGCTAAATTTTTGTATTTTTGTAGAGATGGGGTGTCACTACATTGGCCAGGCTGGTCTCAAACTCCTAACCCAAGTAATCTGCCCGCCTCAGCTTCCCAAAGTGCTGGGATTACAAGCGTAAGCACCATACCCAGCCATATTTAGGAATATTTTCAAAATTAGCTTCACAATATATACCTTTATAAGGTTTACAAATAACCAAGTAGGTAGAGGAATGGCCAAACAAATTCAGGTAAACTGTCCAGTCTTCACTGTTGCTACTTCTAAATGATGAATGTCAGGTAATTTCGTTAGGCTATCATTGCACCTTATACAATATCTAATTGCTCCTAATGGATTAAATCTATACCTGTCCCACTATCCCCCAATCTCCTCCAAACCACTTTTCTATAGGATGAATGCTGAACGGATAACATAACCAGGATGCCACATGGATATTCACTAGGTTTAATATTAATAAATATATTCCATAAGTAGTGTTTTAATTTTATGTTCAAAGCTAGTTATTTGAGTCCTGAAAAAGAATACAAGATTAAGTGGCTTGCATTAAAAAATGGATATAAGCCTATCTTAATATCTGGTGTTATAAATACAGAATCTTACATAAAAGTTATTCTCAATGAAAGAAAATTCAAAGTGCTTCCATCTTTCTCCTTTTATTATATGGTGAAGCATCCTTAATGTGAATTAATGGTTAGATATATAAATGCATGGCATAACATGAGAAAATCTAGAAGAAAATATCCTCATTTTAATCTAAGACTATGGAATTATCAGTTACAATTAGACTTAAGCAGCAACTTACCTTTTTTAAAAAAAGCAAACGTACAAATAGACAGGCTTGATAATTTAACTCTTCTTAACTATTAAGGCTCTAGGATGTCCTTAATGTTTTTAAAAGATCATTTTAAAACCAAATCACTAATTCTATGCACAGTAAAAACAGTACAAATATCTGAATTTCAGATCTGGCTTTTGCTAGATAGATTCTAAAAATGAAGAAACATTTTCCCTTTCCAGATATTTTAATAATTTAAAATATAAATAATTGTATTAAGTCCCACTGAATAAAGAATGTGAAAGTTTCTATATTAAAAAAAAAACTTAAGAGTTTAAAGCTTGATAGTCATTTCATTTTATGGTGGGACAGAGACTGGATTTTG